GACTTGAAGGCTCTACTGGCCCCTATCAGATTTGAGACCCCAGACCTGCCCACCACAGCCAGTTTCCCACAGTCTGGGACCAACTAGGTGACAGACAAGAATCCTTACCATGGAACCTCATCCAGCCCCAGCCCCAGCGTTGCACAGATTGATGCCTGAAAGCTGGGACTCCAGCCCAAGCTGGGGAAGAATCCTTTCCTTCTGGGCTCCTGTGTTTCCATCTAAGCCCAGCTCACCCATGAACCAGTCATATGCTGGCAGATGAGACCAAAAGATATTGTCTCAGAGAGTCTGCAGGCAGACCAGGAGCCCAGGCCTTCCAGGATGAGACCTGAGGCCATGCGCATTCCTGGCCTGGCTATGTCTGTTCATAACTGCCTCCAGGTGGCCAGCCCTGTCTCCAGACTCCTGTCTACACAGCTCAACTCGACCATCTCAGGGCCCGAGGGCAGAAGCAGCTTAAGTTGGGAAGGGGCATCTGAGAAGGAGGTGAGCTCCCCATCTGCCTGGGAGAGAGGGACCCATGCTGGAGACGCAGGGATCAGGTGCATCTGACGACAAGCACAGAGGACTGGCTGGGCAGTGCCAGGAAGGCCATTGTCCAGGCCCAGGCCTTCCTGGTGTCACGTCCAAAGCTCTTCTAGAAGGCACTGGCTTTGGGCTTCTGTACCCTCTCCTAGCACAAGGGCCTTGCATAAAGGGGTTGGCCCGAGTAAATGGGAGCTTGGGAAGCACCAGCAGTCATTCTTGGCTCAAATGTCTACCTGGCCTGGGCATAGGGTACAGTGGTGGGCAAGAGAAGAAAGGTCCCTGCCTGCCTGAAGCTCCCATTCTGATGGAGAAATAGGCAAGAAACAATCCCAGCACGCAGCATGCCAGATGGTGCTCACCGCCATAGAGGGAAAGGAGCTGGCCTGCCTTCCTCCCTCCCTCCCTCCCTCCCTCCCTCCCTCCCTCCCTCCTTCCCTCCTTCCCTCCCTCCCTCCCTTCCTCACCACCATAGAGGAAAAGAGCCAGCCTGCCTTCCTCCCTCCCTCCCTTCCTCACCGCCACAGAGAAAAACAGCCTGCCTTCCTTCCGTCCATCCTTCCTTCCTTCCTCACTGCCATAAAGAGCCTCCTTCCCTCTCTTCCTTCCTTTCCTCCTTCTCTCCCTCCCTCCTTCCTTCCTTTTTTTGAGATGGAATCTAGCTCTCTTCCTCCTCCCTCCCTCTCTCTCCTCTCTCTCTTTCTTTGAGATGGAGTCTAGCTCTGTCACCCAGGCTGGAGTGCAGTGGTGCGATCTCAGCTCACTGAAGCCTCCTTCTCCCAGGTTCAAGGGATTCTCCTGCCTTAACCTCATGAATAGCTGGGATTACAGGCACCAGGCACCATGCCCAGCTACTTTTTGCATATTTAGTAGAAACAGGGTTTCACCATGTTGGTCAGGCCAGTCTTGAACTCCTGGCCTCAAGTGATCCACCCACCTTAGCCTCCCAAATTGCTGGGATTACAGGTGTGAGCCACTGCGGCCAGCCTCCTGATTTTTTCTTTCAAAATGGGGGCTTGTGTCACCCAGGCTGGAGTGCAGTCGTGCAATCATGGCTTACTGCAGCCTCAAACTCCTGGGCTCAAGCAATCCTCCCACCTCAGCCTCCCAAGTAGCTGGGATTATAGGCGTGTGCCACTGTGCTGGGCTAGACTGTTATTTTAAATGAGTTGCCTGCCCGAGACTTTAGTAAAGACCTGAAGGAATTGGGCGAGAGTGTGCTTTGGATATCTGCAGGGAAGTTGAGTGCAAAGGCCCTGGGACAGGAGCTATGCAGAGTGTGTAGCTCTGAGTTGAGGGTATGCGGGAGGCCTGGGCAAGTAAGGTGAAGTGGGGAGCAGTGCCAGACATCGTGGGGACACCAGCATGGGAGGACCATAGATCTGTGGGGCAGGCACCTCCAGAGATGCCACCTTGTACTCATCCTATTCTGTCCTGGCCCATGGTTCTGCCTTTCCACCTGGCTGGGAGCTGGGGGGGCCATTATGATGTCTCCCCAAGCCTGTCTCCTCATCTGTAAGGTGAAGATCACAACGGTGTTAGTCTGTTAGGGCCTCCTTAAAAAAGCACCAAGGGCTGGGCACAGTAGCTCACACCTGTAATCCCAGCACTACGGGAGGCCAAGGTGGGAGGATCACTTGAGCCCAGGAGTTTGGGACCAGTTCAGGCAACACAGTAAAACCCCGTCTCTACAAAAAATACAAAAATTTGCTGGATGTGGTGGTATGCACCTGTAGCCCTATCTACGCAGGAGACTGAGGTGGGAAGATGGCCTGAGCCCAGGAGGCAGAAGCTGCAGTGAGCTGTGATCTTGCCGCCGCATCCCAGAATGGGCAACGGAGTGAGACTCTGTCTCAAAAAAAGAAAGGCATCACAAATGGAACCACTTAAGTAACACATTTATTGTCACATAGCTCTGGAGGCTGGAAGCCCATGATCAGAGGGACAGCAGCCCTGCTCCCTCTGAAGGCTCCAGGAGATGCTCTGAAGCAGCCCCCTCTCCCAGCTTCTGGTGAGACCTTGGCTCGTGGAGAATTCCAGTCTTCACAAGTGTTCTGTGTGCATCTGTCCATGTCCAAATCTTCCTTTTTCCTTTTCTCTCCATCGTCCAGGCTGAAGTGCAGTGGTACAATCACAACTCACTGCAACCTCAACCTCCTGAGCTCAAATGATCCTCCTACCTCAGCCTCCCGAGTAGCTGGGACTACAGGTGTGCACCACCATGCCTTGCTAATTTAATTATTTTTAGAGATGGGGTCTTGCCATACTGCCCAGACTAATCTGGGCTCAAGCAGTCCTCCAGCTTTGGCCTCCCAAAGGGCTGCGATTACAAGTGTGAGCTGCTGTGCCCAGCCCAAATCTTCCTGTTTTGTTTTTTAGATAGTCTCCCTCTGTTGCCCAGGCTGGAGTGCATAGTGCGATCTTGGCTCACGGCAACCTCTGCCTCCTGGGTTCAAGTGATTCTTCCACATCAGCCTTGCACTACAGGTGTGAGCCACCACGTCCAGCTAATTTTTGTATTTTTTTTTTTGGTAGAGACAGGGTTTTGACATGTTGCCCCATGCTGGTCTCAAACTCCTGAGCTCAAGCAATACCTCTGCCTCAGCTTCCTAAAGTGTGGGGATTACAGGCATGAGCCACTGCACCCAGCCTAAATCTTCCTCTTTTTTTTTCTTTTAGAGATGGTGTTTTGCTCTTGTTGCCCAGGCTGGAGTGCAATGGCGCAATCTCGGCTCACCACAACCTCTGTCTCCAAGGTTCAAATGATTCTCCTGCCTCTCTCCAGAGCAGGAAATTATAGGCATGTGCCACCACACCCAGCTAACTTTGTATTTTTAGTAGAGATGGGGCTTCACCATGTTGGTCAGGTTGGTCTCAAACTGCCAACCTCAGGTGAACCGCCCACCTCGGCCTCCCAAAGTGCTGGAATTAAAGGCTTGAGCCACCTTTCCCAGCCCAAGTCGTCTTCATTTATAAGGATAGTGTGATACTGGATTAGGGCCCACACTAATGACCTCACTCTACTTTGGTTTCCCCTGGAAAAATCCTATCCCCAAATGCAGTCACATTCTGAGGTACTGTGGGTCAGGACACTGATGTATCTTTTTAGGGGGATGTGACTCATAACACCAGTAGAATCACCATTGAGGGCTGTGCTTCCTTAGGGGGCTCAGGCTGCTGGGGAGCCCTGGGCAGGATGGGGGCAGAGGGACTCATGCAAGAGCAGGGACTGCTCTTCCTGGGCAGGTCAGGCCTCTGGGCAGAGGTGAGCACCCAGGGGGGCTCTTCATGAGGGCAGGGCACCATCCAGATTGGGTGCTGGCACCGGACGCTGGCGCAGGACATGGTGACGGCTGGAGATGAACCTGCTGGCAGCAAGGGCAGTGCCCCCAGCTGGGAGCCTGTTGTCCTGACTCAGAGGACACATAGGGGACTTGGGGCCTTAGTTTCTCCCCAGGCCTGGGGATGCAACCTGGGTCACAGCCGGGAACCTCTTCTGAGTTCAAAGTGAGCCATGTAAGGCTCTGAGCCCAGCAGAGTGGTCTGGGCAGGAAGGAGGAGGGACAGGGAGGCCCCTGCTCCTCCCTAGGAGGACCTGCATCATGTCACACTCAGGCTGGGAAGCCCTGGTGCAGGTCCACACCCACTCTCATGGATCCGAAAAGACCAAGTTAGGGGTTGGGTGCAGAGGCTTAGAAAAGCTTGGGTCTCAGCATTGGATGTGCGGGACCCCCTTAAATTCGGCCAGGCCCAGGGATGCAAACTCTTTTTTTTTTTTTTTTTTTTTGAGACAGAGTTTCGCTCTTGTTACCCAGGCTGGAGTGCAATGGCGCGATCTCGGCTCACCACAACCTCCACCTCCTGGGTTCAGGCAATTCTCCTGCCTCAGCCTCCTGAGTAGCTGGGACTACAGGCACGCACCACCATGCCCAGCTAATTTTTTTGTAGTTTTAGTAGAGACAGGGTTTCACTATGTTGACCAGGATGGTCTCGATCTCTTGACCTCGTGATCCACCCGCCTCGGCCTCCCAAAGTGCTAGGATTACAGGCTTGAGCCACCGTGCCCGGCCTGGATGCAAACTCTTTAGAGCTGGCCCCAAACCAGGAGCTCCCGGGGCTGAGACAGATGCAGACCCGCCCTCCTGCACTTCCTACCATCCCCTGGCCCCCACCATGCAACAGAAGTCCGGGCCAGCCATGCCTCCCCCTCCAGCGGGGCCCCCACAGGCTCCACAGTGACCTGATGTCCCTGTGTGGGTGGCTGGCCCCATAACCAGCACCTACCACATCCCACACACATGGGGTCTCTCACAGCGGCCCCTGCCCAAGGACAGATGGACTGACCCACAGGCATCCATCAGTGGTGCTGAAGAAGCCGTGAGGTGGGAAGGGCCTTGTCCAGGGTGTCTGATCACACAGGAGACGCATAGCTCCCACTGGCACCCTGCACACAAGGGAAAGGTATCAAAACACGCTCACCACAGCCTCAGTTTTATTATCAGCAGTTCATATTCAGGTACAGATTCCTACGAAGTTTGCCTCACTGGCAAAGAGGAGGGAGAGGGCAGGGCTGGCTGAGATGGGGCCACCAGAGCCATGGCCTCCAGCTGGGCAAGTGGGGGTCTGAGAGCCCCTGGTGCACATGGAGCCTCCCGGCACACACAGTATTGTCCCCAACACACAGGACACCTGGTACACTCAAGGCCACTGAGTCTGCCAGTGAGTCTGCACTTCTGTTATCAGAGTGGGTTTCTCTCAGGTCTTCTTGGTGCCCGATTCCAAACGTGGCTGTCTCTTCTGCAGGGGCGGCTCTGCTTGTCAAGAATCCAAGCACACCTGTGCTCTATGGCCACAGGAGAGGAGGGGCCGCTGTTAAACACCAGCCTACTCCTATTGTTGGATCAGAACAAAAACCCACTGGCCAAAAGCACATGAGGGGTAAGAGTCACCCTGCTGCCTCATCCGACATGGTATGTGTGCACCTGTGTGTGTGTGCAGCTGTGCACATGTGTAGTACACCTATGCATGTACGTGTGCACACACCTGTGCATGTGTCGGTGTGCACGTATGTGCCTTGTGTGTGCGTGCTTGCGCACGTGCAGGAGTGTATGGGTGTGCTGTGTGTGTGGCTGTGTACATGTGCAGGAGTGGGCTCAGATGTATCCACATGTTCATGGTATGTCTGGGCCAGCCCTAGACCTGGTGTCAGACTCTGCTGCTCCCCACTGGCATAAAGGCAGACCTGAGCTGGGCGTGGGGACACAGACGGATAACACACAAACCACAGGGCCCTGAGCTTCGATGCTGGCCACGCCACAGGCAGTGCAGTGCAGTATGGCCAAGGAAGGTTTCCCGTCCAAACTGTCCCCAAGGCGGGGCCTCCCAGGAGCCCACTGGGCACGCCCAGAAGTGGGGTTAGCTCTGCAGTGTGAATTCGTGGGTGCTGGTCTCCCAGTGGGAGGGGTCCTTGTCCAGCATGCTACGCTCAGTGAAGGTCACATGGCCATCCGCATCTACCAGGATGATGGTGTTGGTTCTGAAAGAGAGCAGGGGCCCTGGTTCACCTGGTGTCCCTCAGCCCTGTCCTGCCTGTCACAGCCACAGCTAAGGCAAGAATCCAGGCAGGTAGAGGCAGGACCCCCATGCCTGGAGGCTGTGCCAGGTCACAGAGGAGCAGCAGCCTCAGCTTGGGGACGAGGAAGGACCATCAGGGGCGTGTGGGCTCCCAGTTGGCTCCGCAGGCCCACACTTGCTGAGTCCTACCACCTCCACTGGGAACCAGCCCACCCCGCCCTGCTCTCTCGTGTAGCATGAGCCACAGCACAGAGCAGCCTGTGAGCTGACCACACACCTCCCCTTCAGAGGCCCAGCTTCCAAGACACTCAGCCACAACTGGCTCTTTCAAGAGGCCAAGCTGTTGGCCACCTGGGGCTGAGGCCTCCTCTGGAAGACCCCCTCCGTGCCATCTCTCCCACTGCCCAGGCCATGCTGGCCAGTCTGAAGCAAACGCTGAGCACACTGTCCTCTCCTCTAACCCTCTCTGGCTTTGCAGATGGAGGGTGGCACTGGATCCCCCAGCAGCCCCAGCACAGGCTGGTTCCCAGGGCAGATGTACACTCAGTGTCCCCCGTGGGGTGGGACCCAGCAGTCATGTGGCCTGCCAGGGAGCAGACTTGGCACCTGCGTTCCCCTCCCACATAGGAAGATGAGACATGACAGAGGAGGGGCTGAAGGAAATGACACCCTGCACCTGCCAAGGGGCCAGCCAGCCCCAGGTGAGAAAGGCTGGCCAGCAGCCACCACCCAGGGGTACAGTCGGCAGGCCTAGTACCATGGTGCCAAGGCATTTTCCTGCAGGGATCCACCAATGTGCAGGTAGCCCTGAGGCGATCCTGGCCCCGCATGGCTGTGTACTGGCTCTGCAAGCCTGGCCTGTGGCGCCCTGGGAACCTGTGGCATCTGCGTACCCCTGCAGTGATGTCCGTTCAGGGCGGAAGCTCTGGATCCACTCAGGCGGGGAAGGAGCCTGGCCCTGACTATGGAGCATGGGGGTACCGGGCCTTTGCCGGCCCTCTGCCCTGGGAGGTGGGACGTGGACAGGAGGTGGCGCCCCCACGGTGCCGCAATACCTGGTGCCGTAGCCAGGGCAGCGCACACACACAGCCGAGTACTTGCTCAGTATGGGCTGCACGTACTCCCGGCCCTGGTCCTCGATGGCCGGGTCCGGCAGCTGCCTGCAGGATGGAGGGAAGTGTCGGCCATTAGTCCCTCAGTGGCCTGTGCACAGCCAGGTCTAGCCCCATCCCACCTGCTGGCCTAAATGGCTCTAGGGAGTGGCCAGGGGGGACTGCAAGGGTTGTTTTTCTTCTCTTTTCTTTTTGTTTTTCTTTTCTTTCCTTTTTTTGAGACAGAGTTTCGCTCTTGTCACCCAGGCTAGAATGCAATGGCTCGATCTCAGCTCACTACAACCTCCACCTCCTAGGTTCAAGTGATTCTCCTGCCTCAGCCTCCCAAGTAGCTGGGATTACAGGTGTGCACCACCAAGCCCATCTAATTTTGTATTTTTAGTAGAGACAGGGTTTCACCATGTTGGTCAGGCTGGTCTTGACCTCCTGACCTCAGGTAACCCACCCACCTAGGCCTCCCAAACTGCTAAGATTACAAGCATGAGTCACTGTGCCTGGCCTGTTTCCTGTTTCTAATCAAGGCGGAAAATCTCCATCTACCCTTAACTTAACGACTCAATTGCAGAGCTTCAGCCCTAGATGGCACACAGGCTCCCTGCCTGCCCTGAGACCGTGACAGAAGTCCACTCAAGCCAGCCATTGTGGCCAGCATCGGGGCTCCAGCCGTCAGTGAGGGCAGCCAGGGCCGGTCCTGGGCCTGCCCCATGTGGCACAGTGATAGGGGACTGTGTGCACGTACACCTGGGAGGGGCTGCCGGGCACACCCATGGGGCTCTTCCAATGAGGCAACTATGCTGAGGCTGAAGGATGAGGCCTCAGATCAGCAGCACAGAGGAGAGGGAGGAAGCAGGGGGCAGAAAGGGGCCCCCGGGGGAGAAGTGGGAGACAGGCCATGGGGGCTCCTCTGAGAGGGGTGAGCTGGACAGAGTGACAGCAGATACTGGGTCACCTGGGCAGGACTGTGGCCTAACCTGGGTGGGGAGGGAGGGATATGTGGGGCATCTCACCCAGCGGGAGAAAGGCTGGCTCGGGAGGCACTAGGACCCCCAGCTGGGGCAACCAGGACCCCAGTGCCCTGCCTCTGAGGGGCCTTGAGGCCTAAGGGCAACAAAGTGGGTGGGGGCTCCCTACTCCCAGGCAGTTCCCGGGACTGCAAGTCCCTGCCCAGCACTTAGCCCAGGGTCGCTGAGGACAGACCACATGCAGGAAGCCCTATCAATCCTGAGAGTGCTGATCCTGGCCACTTGTTTCCATGATTTGTCTCTTCCCCCGGGGTTTGTTGAGTGTCTAGAATCTTCTGGAACTTCCCGCTAGCCCTCGGCATGCAGAGGGAAGCATCCATCTGCTCTTGCCCATGTGCGTGCATCAAGCCTCTGGGTGCACTGAACCTCCCCTGGGCGCACTGAACCTCCCCTGGGTGCACTGAACCTCCCCGGGCCTGGGCCTGGGCCCATCTCCTGTCATCAGAAGTCCCTGCTGAAAACCTCAGCTCGCCTAAGGGAACAGGCAGGGAGGACAGCACGTCCATCAGCTTCCCTGCAGCTGGGTACCCAGCCTGGGCACCTCCACGGGCCTCCTGGGGCAGCAGAGCCTGCCTTTCCCTGCCCAGTGGTGGGAGGACATGGGGGCTCACGCCAGAGGGACCCGCCCACTCACGCCTCTTCGTTGTTGAGCACATCCAGGAGGTCAGCGATGAGCACGTCCTTGGGCAGCGCCTGGCTCCGCTCCACAGCCTCCAGGAAGAGCTGTTTCCCAAAGCACAGCTTCCTCCAGGGTGTCTCCAGCAGCGCGTTGCTCAGTCCATAGGTCCCTGTGGGGAGCAGTCAGCTGGCCATAGAGAAGCCCTGCTGTGCCATGTCAGGGCCAATTGCCACCTGCCACCTGTCTAACATGGGGTATGGCTGGGGACCATGAAATCAGGCCAGACCGAGGCCAAGCCGCTCCCATGCTCCAGCACCTTCCCTATGTTCATTCCTGACTTGACAGCATGGCAAGGAGTGGCGAACTCAACAGTGTGTGGAAGGGGCATCCACAGGAGACCACAAGGCACAGATACCCAGCAGCCTGAATGGATGGATGAATAAGAAATGAGTAACCTGAGATCTCACAGGCAAAGGGGGCAGCCAAGAGGGAACCTCTTCACCTCACGCCAGGTTGGGGGGCCACCTGAGAAGGTCAAGAGTGGGAGAATTAGCCACCAGAGGCCAGAAGGCACCCACCACCATCACGTCCCTATGTGGGGAACCCCCAAGAGTGCCACATAGGGGGCACGGATGCGGGCAGGGCCTCAGTCGAGCAAGGACCACCTCTGCATACCAGCCAGGCCCTGGCTAGGAGAGCCAGGGGTCTCAGTGCACGGAGTCTGATCTGTAGCTTCTCAGAACAAGCTGCCCAGAGTGGTGGCAGAAGGCATGGCCAACAGGAAGAGGGTTTCTCATGTCACAAAAAGTGAAGGGCAGGGACTTTCACCTCAGAGGCTCTTCTCCAGAGGCCAGGGCAGCAGGGGACAGCTTGATGGGAGCCATGCATCCCAAATGACGTGACAGGGACACCGAGACACCACCTCTTTCCCGTCAGACTTCCAGGAGAAGATCTTGGCCAAGGCATTTCCCAGGAAGATAGCCTGGGATCTGCTGGAGCCCCCAGAGCCAAGCCGCTAGCCCCAGGTGTCACAGTGCTTTTTTTTTTTTTTTTTTTTTTTTTGCGATGCAGTCTCATTCTGTCACCCAGGCTGGAGTGCAGTGGCGCGATCTTGGCTCACTGCAACTTCTGCCTCCTGTGTTCAAGCAATTCTGCTGCCTCAGCCTCCCAAGTAGCTGGGATTACATGCATGCGCCACCATGCCTGGCTAATTTTTGTATTTTTAATAGAGATGGGGTTTCACGTAACATGCTGGCCAGGCTGGTCTCAAACTCCTGACCTCGTGATGCATCTGCCTCGGCCTCCCAAAGTACTGGGATTACAGGTGTGAGCCACCACACCCGGCCTGCTTTTTCCATCAGGAACAACATGGAAGACCATTCAACTGCATAGCCATGGGCAAAGAATGGAGCTGGACTCTACCTCACGCCATACATAAAAGTTGACTCAGGCCAGGAGAGGTGGCTCACTCCTATAATCCCAGCACATTGGGAGGCCAGGGCAGGAGGATCACTGGATCCCAGGAGTTCAAGACCAATCTGGGCAAAATAGTAAGACCCTATCTCTACAAAACACTAACAATTAGCTGAACATGGTGGCACACATCTGCAGTCACAGCTACTTGGGAGGGAGGATCTCTTAAGTCCAGGAGGTTGAGGCTGCAGTGAGACATGATTGCACCACTGCACTCCAGCCTGGGTGACAGAGCCAGACCCTGTCTCAAAAAAAAAAAAAAGTTAAATCAAACCGAAGACTTAAGTGAAAGAGCGAAAACTATAAAACTCTGAGAAGAAAGTATAGGGCGAAAGCTTTATGACCTTAGATTAGGCAATGGTTTCTTAGATAAGAAACTGAAGGCATGAGCAACAAAAGAAAAAAAGAAAAACATGTGACTTCAAAATGGAAAACTTTGTGCTTTAAATAAGAGGCTTTTAGCTAGAACCAATTATGAGGCACTCCTATAACTCAAAAAGACAACCCAAGTTGAATACTCATTTCTCCAAATAAGATACACAAATGGCTCAACATCACAGCCATCAGAGAAACGCAAATCAGAACCACAGGGCCATACCACTTCCCACCCAGTGTGGCGGCTATCATCAAAACACAAACAACAGTAGTTGCTAGCGAGGATTCGGAGAAACTGCACCCCTCATACACTGCTGGTGGGAATGCATAACGCTTCGGCTGCTTTGGGAAACAGTTTGGAAATTCCTCAAAAGGTTAAACAGGGATACCATACGACTTAACAACTCCATCCCTAGGTATTCACACGAGAGCCATAAAAACATATGACCAGGCCGGGCGCGGTGGCTCAAGCCTGTAATCCCAGCACTGTGGGAGGCCGAGGCGGGTGGATCATGAGGTCAAGAGATCGAGACCATCCTGGTCAACATGGTGAAACCCCATCTCTACTAAAAAACTACAAAAAATTAGCTGGGCATGGTGGTGCGTGCCTGTAATCCCAGCTGCTCAGGAGGCTGAGGCAGGAGAATTGCCTGAACCCGGGAGGCGGAGGTTGCGGTGAGCCGAGATCGCGCCATTGCACTCCAGCCTGGGTAACAAGAGCAAAACTCCGTCTCAAAAAAAAAAAAAAAAAAAAAAAAAAAAAAAAAAAAAAGCAAACTGGAAATTATTAAATTTTTATAATGAAAAAAAAAGAAGTTTATGGAAAGAGGGAAAAGGAAAAAAAAAAAAAAAAAAAATATGACCATGCAGCAGCACTATTCACAACAGCCAAAAGGCGAAAACAACTCCAGTGTCCCTTAGTGGATGAAGGGAAGAAACGGAAGGTACCTACTGGCTCGGGGTTCAGGGTAGCCGGCTCGGCAACTCCCTCAGTTCCTACGGCTACAAGAAAAACCACACTCTTGATAAATTCCCTCGCAATAGTAGTGATCACACACATTATCAGACCCTCCTAACTCTGACTGACAGCCCAGACCACTACAACCCTGACCAGACAGAGGACCAGACTTCAAACACTCTTTTCTGAAAAGCAACTACAGACCTTAAGACGGTTTCAGCAGTTCATAAAGGCTGCACTCCAACCGTGTCCTAGAGCTCACCTTCTGATGGAAAGAGCCAGATTCCACCTCATTTTGATGCTAAAATCCTCAAACTGCCCTTCCCCTCCTCAGAGAGCACCTCAGTCCATGCCCGAGACTCTCTCTTCCGGGTTTACAAACTGATACGGTGAATAAAGCTCTCTATTATTTAGCCATGCTGGTGGGCTTTTGGATGACAACACTAAGTGAAAACAGTCAGTCCCCTAAACTACATATTATAAGAGTCCCTTTATACAAAGTGTCCAGAATAGGCAAATCCATAGATAGAAAGCAGATTAAAGGTTTCAGGGGCTAAAGAGACGGAATGGGGAGTGGCTGCTGACGGGTATGGCTCTCTTTGGGGATCAAGAAAAGGTCCTGGAATTAGGTAGTGATGATGGTTGCTCAACTCTGAATGAACCGAAACCTACTGAATGATACATTGTAAATGGGTGAACTGTGCTGCTAGTCAGTCATATCTCAATAAAGCTGTTATTAAAAAAAAGGCAATGTGGACCAGGTGGGGCAGGATCAGGGGTGAGACAGGATGTAGTCAGAAATAATTTCTCCAAAACCACTGAGCAGAAAATAAGCATCTCCAACCACTGAGATCTCAGCCTCTGAGAACCAAGGGTGTCACAGGGATGGTTACAGCGGCTGCCCCAGAGGCCTCTGGGCCAGTGTTCAGAATGAGGGGATGGGAGGGAGTCTCTGACTTTGCCCCTTTTAGTTTCCGGTTTTCTCCTGGGCAGTCACAGGCTCAGGGTGGCCCCAGTCACAGACCTACCTTGCCGCACATTCCAACCCCAGGACCCTGACTCACAGGGAGGCCCTGGGGCAGGTGGAACAGCAGGAGCCGGCTGAGACAGCCAGAACAATCCTTTGGAAGCTCAGGACCTTCTGGGGCCATGTTCCTGCCTTGCTGGTAGCGTCTGTGTCTGTGCCACTGCCCAGTTGTTAGGAACTCAGCTGAGCCACCCACAGTTGTATCGAAGGCAGGGAGGGGAAGGCCAGCGTCACCGAGGGTGGCTGAAGGACGAGCTCCAGGTGGAGGAGAGGGCACCAGCTGGTATGCAGAGGGGCAGTGGGTAGGACGCACTGGAATCCACCCTCCAGGCCAGGCAGATGCCACCTCTGAGGATCCCAAGTAGCCCAGGTGTCCAGGCCTGGGCACCACCCCAGCAAATGGGGTGCTGGGCCCATCTGTGGACCAGACATCACTGGGCAGACGTGAGAAGCTGTCATGATGAGCCGGCCAGCACCATCAGCCCCCCAGGACGCAGGTGGGGTGGGGCCACTCAGCTGTCCCGAGGACTGCTTACCACCTCCCTCAGGCACCTCCAGGGACACTTGGGGCTTCAGGCCCACCATATGCACCCAGTGGGAAGGTGTGCACCTGTGACCTGCAACCTCACTTGGTGATTTGCGCCAAATGCAAAAGGAAGTCTGTGTGACGCAGGCACAGAGCTGCAGAGGAGCGCCCCCTCACAGAGGGATGTGGGTGGCACCAAGGGCACTGATACTCTCCCCAGGTGCTGGAACACCCTGTGTGGGCCAGCAGCTTGGGGAGAGGACCAGAGTGGGCATCTAAGGCACACAGTTCCACGATGCCACCAGCGAGGAGTGTCTGCGGGCAGCAGGTGTGGGAGTGAGCACGCCGTAGGCTCTGGAGCCCGGGCTCTGGTCCCTACAGCTTTGCGCACCCAGGGCAAATGCCATTTCCCAGGAGTGCTGCTTTGTGCTGGCATCAGACCTGGGACAAGATGCAGACCTCCCTTCCACAACATGGCTGCAGAGGGGGGCAGTGTGACACATTCTGTCCAGGTTGGGGCACCGGCAGAGGAAGCTTCCAGGAAATCGCAGCACCCGAGGAGGGGGGAGAGAAAGGGCACCTAGCAGAAGGCACAGCCTGGGCAATGGCATAGAGCCAGGGCTGGAGGGCCCAGACATGGAGTATGACCTGGCACAGGGGAGCTCAAGGCCCTGAGGACAGGGACTGGGGAGCAGACCAGGGACCGGGTGCAAGAGACGTGTGTCTGTGCAGGGCTGCAGTGGGGTGTGTATGTGTACGTCAGGGAGCAAGAACCCCGGGTGGTGACGGCCCCAGAGGTGCTGAGAAGGGACGGGCACAGGGCATACTGGGATGGCGCAGGGGGTGAGACTGGGGGTGGGCTGCAGGGCTATGGTGGGAAGCCCAGAACAGGGGCGCATCTCACTCAGCAGGAAAGCCCCATGGGGGGGGAGTGCAGACTGAGGTCCCTACAGACCACAAGGCACATAAGTCGTCCCAGGAGAGTAATATGACAAAGGCCTGGTCTCTAAAAAGCACAGGGGTGACCTCTGCATAGAACAACCGCCACCTCATCAGGCTCCCAGGGCAGGCTCACCTGGAGTCAAAACGATGGGATCAGGCTCTCCTCGGTTCCCATAGTAGCAAATGACATCTCCCTTTGCTGTGCTGCAGACCAAGGGGAGAGAGTGTCAGCCTGTAGCCATAGGGCGTCCTGCCCCTGACACTGCCTGACGATCTCACAGCCCTGATCCTGGAGGTTGGTGATGCACACAGTAGCCCACTGTGGCCAGGCCAGGGGCTTGCAGGACCCAGCCCCTCGGGCACATGGCAGGCAGGGTCATAGAGGCCCTAGCTCTCGTCCGGCAACACGGGTATGTTTCCAGCTCACCTCAGGGCCCACCAGCCAGGGAGGCAAAGCATCTAAAAGGCCCTCCTACCTTGCCGAATGCCCGACGGCATAGATACACAGAGGCTGCCCATCCCTGTGGGCACCTGCAGGGCTGAGCCCCATCCCCACTTCCCCAGTCCCTCCATCAGCACCCCTACCACAGCTCATCTCTGAGCGTTTCTAGACAGGTGGCCCCAGGGAGATGAAGGCTTCCAAAGAAAGCGCCCAAGACCACCTCTTCCTACTCTCATTTGCTAAGTGTACACTTGAAAATAGTTCGGGACAGTTGAGCTGGGCATAGTGGCTCACGCCTATAATCCCAGCTACTCTGGAGGCTGAGGAGAGAGGGCTGCTTGAGGTCAGGAGTTTGAAACCAGATTGAGCAACACCTCATCTCTTTCAGCAAGACCTCATCTCTATGAAATAAATAATTTAAAAAAAGAAAATAGTTAAAAATGCTCCCCAGCTGAAAATATTCCAATCCTTAATACCACAGTAAGTCTTCCAGAACGTGGAATGCCTTTTTTGCAAAGTGAAGAGAGTCTCTTTGTGGCCTGTGAGATGCCTTCCCAGGCCGGATGCTGGGCATGGAGCCCTGGGCCTTCAAGATGAACAGATACAGAGGAAGAGCCGTGCGTGGTGCCTTCCTCCCAGAAGTGCTGTCCACCAGGTGGGACCTGCCCTCTCCCAACCTGCCAGTAGGCTTCAGGAGCCCCAGTCTACGTTCACATTTCATTCCAGTATTTTCTCACCATGGCCTTTGGCAACTTTCCCAAGATGCTTGGTTTATAATTTCAGAGACTATTTGCAGGCAGAAAGCTCCTCTGGGCTGTCTCTGTAAGGACCTATAGAACTGGATGCTTATGTCAGGGCTGCCAGCACAGGCCAGGCGAAGGGCGGGCCTCACCGGGGATAGCTGTGGCCGAGATAAGCCTCTCTCTCTTCCAGGCCTTGGCCTCCTCACTGGCACCCACCTGCAGGGCTGCTCACTGACCTCTGATGCCCCCCGCCCTCCAGCCTCGGCCCTGGCACCAGCTTCTGCCTGACCTATGGTAGCTCTCCTGGCCATGGCCCGTATCCTCAGGCAAGGTGCAGGAGGCTGGCCCTCACTCTATAGCCTTTGGAGCCGGGCAAGTTGCACAGGCTCTGAGCAGCCCAAGCCCCCACCCCCCGACCACAGGAGCCCATGCACCTGCTCAAGCATGGCACCCTTGGCACCCCACCGGCACACAGCTGCTAAGCGCCGAGTCCTGCTGGTGTCACAGCCACAGATCCACTGTCCTGAGGCTGAGTCAGACCCACATGGAACTGCTGACTGGACACAGTGGTTCCTGAGCATGGGGGCATGCAGAGAGCACAGGGGCTCTGCCTCCTGGAATCACAAAGGCATGGACAGGAAGAAGGGCTCCGGGCAGCAAGTGGCCTGCGCCAGCCCTCAGCCCTCCACCTAGGGGATGCTGCAAATCTCTCAGCCTCCACAGCAAGTGCGCAGACCCATGTGGTGCAGGGCTGGGCAAACCACACATAAGGGATGCTCAAGGAACAGCAGGCCCGGAGCTCAGGAGCCAGGAAAGAGGCCCACGGACCTGCCCTTGTGGAAGGAGGCAGTTTCAGGGCCTGCCACGGTGTGCCGACAGCTTCCTGTTTGCCTGTTCTGGCAGAAGGCACCAGACTAACCGCATTAGCCAAGTTTTGGGGTACTGGAGTGGGGGGGAGGGCAGAAGGGAGGAATGCTCGCTTCACGGAAGGGCAAAACACACAAAATCTCTGCAGTTCCTGTGGCCACATCTCCAACGGGAGCTTCCCTGGGAGCACAGCATCCCAGCCACTCCAGGCCAGGCTGCCAGGGGCTGCTCTGCACACCCTGCCCATTGGAGGGGGACACCCAGCCAGGGCCACTCTATGCAGCTGCCCTTCACAGCCTCGGCTTTCTCCAGGGAGCCAGCAGCCCTCACGCCATCACAGGAAGCCTTGGGCTTCACCCCCAAGTCCCCAAGTTGGTACATCTGTAACAGGCTCTATCCTAGGAATGTCTGCCAAGTCACCAGGAACAATATCCCTGGAGAGGCTGCCACGGCCCAGTAGAACCCAGCTTCCTGATGAGCCTGAGGTCTGCCCCAGAGGCAGTGCTGGGCAGGGCCGCCATCCCCCTCTCGCAGACCCACCTCAGGTCGGCGGCTATGAGGTTGAAGCCATTGTACAGATGGCCCTCCACAGAGACCTTCTTCAGGTAGGACAAGCTGTCCACATCAGTGGTCAGAAAGTGGGTGACAAGTTCACCTGTGGGCAGGGGACAGATGCTGTGTCCAAGGCTGCAGGGATGTGCTCTTCTCCTAGGAACACTGATGTGGGGCCCCCTGGGGAGGATGCAGGAAGATGAGGGTCCCACTGGAGCCCTGGCCTGTCATGACTGACACAAGAGTCAGCCACACCTCATCAGCCTGGCTGCCACTCAGGTCGGCACTGAAAACTGCCCATTTTATTAAAAATATCTTTCCCCACTATGTCTTCCGGTGGAAAACCAGCATGAAGTAAACACCCTTCAGTGACACAGCAGTCAGGAGTGACACATAGTGAGGGCGACAGAGGAGAGTGCTCCCTGAGAGGAGTAACAGTGTTGTGTGGGTCAGGTGGGAGTGGGCTCCTGGCTGTGACGCCAGAGGGCCAGGGCATGGGAAATGGGAACGCTCCCCTCCTCACTCTTCCTGTCTCTGCCACACACCTCTGCAGCACACCTCAGTGGCAGCAGTGGTATGCCTGAGGAAGCCCCCCACCTGCCACAGGGCCCAGCTGTCCCCCTTCTTGTCCCTACCCTTACCTGGGCCCTTCCCTGCCATACTTTGGTACCGCCCACTCCGTAACCTGGCCCTGCCCCATGGTACCTCAGCCCTGCCCCATTCCATACCCACACACCTTGTCACTTCTTACCCTAGCCCTCCCACACCGCCCCACCATATATTGGCCAGTCCTGTAGTCCCTTGGCCCCACCCTATCTCACCTCGGGCCCCACCCCGCCCCACCCTGTCTCACCTCGGGCCCCGCCCC